CCGGCTCTCGGCGCCTCGCGTGGCGCCAGGTAAAGGCGAAGCCCCCGCCGAGGCTCCCCGCCCGTTTCCTCTCGGAAACTTGCCTTTCTCCCTCCCCCGCGCCCCCCAGCCTCACTCTTCCGTGTGCTGGTGGCTTCGCCCTTAGGTCTGGCGAGCTAAACCGTGTTGTTCTGACCCCTCGGTGGCTTTGGGGGCCGTTCTGGGCGGATTTCTTGATGCTTTTTTGCTCTCTTTCCTGACCCCCTCCCCCGGGTACTGGGGACTCGTTGTGTCTCGGGTCCCGACTACAGTGATAGGCGCTTTGTGGCTTTCAAACAAAGGTTGTCGAGGAGTCTACTTCTTAGCTGATACGAGTTTATGTACCTTCCTTTCCCTAATAAAGATGAGATGGTGAAGGTAATACCCACGTCATGCATACAAATGCTTAGATATGCTCTGGATGAGAGAAAAATCAAAGTATGGATCCAAAGGCTGCTAATGGAATATATTCTAGTTACGGAGGAAATTTTAGTAAAAACCTGTCCCTTCACTTACACTTACCTATCCCTTCGTTTACACTTCACTTAAACTTCCTCTCAGGTCTGAAATGACACTTCCACCAAAAAGGGGGAATCTGCGTTTATATTTCTTAGCAATTATGCTGAAAGCTCTTTTGTGAGATGCAGACTGAAAGTGAGCTAGCTACTGCTCTTAAAACATACTTTATGAACTAGGTATCTTTTCCCTGCCTTCGCATCCTCTAATCTCGACTTCAGAAAGAGCGAGGAATCTAGCAAGGGGCTTCTGCTTGAATGGAAACATGAGATAATATTGTTTGAGCATCTGGGTGACTCTTAACTTGCTATCAACAAAACAAACAAAGGTCTTTCTGAGTTTGTCTCCTGAGTAAAATCTCTTCAGGTGAGAGACTTGGCTCCCTGCCTACGCAAACAGAAGATATTGATTGCAAGCACTAAGCACTGAGATGTATAAGGGCTGTATCAAAAGCTTAACACATTTGGGCTTATATCGATTGAGAAATCGGGATGTTCTCAATGTTAAATGAGTTTAGTCGAACAACTAGCCTGGGGTGGAGTAACTGGCTGAGTACGAAACGGCAAAGGATAATTTATGAAGTGCAGTGGGAATAGTGTTTGTTCCCAGCACTGCATTCCCATCAACACTTGGAGACCAAGCACCTTCAGTGACAGCGAAACGGGTAAGGGTTCCAAAGAAGCGTTAGGACTGAAATGCTACTGAAAGAAAAAGTTTTGAGGAGTCGCTGCTCCAATTCCCAGATACTTTTTAAAAATCCAGGCTGATTTACATGAGGTTGTTAGCGTGAAGATACAGGATATCTTTCATGTTATATTGAATCTGCTGTAGAAAGTGCAGGAGTTCTTGAGGTTCTCTGTGCAGCCAACAATTTTTAAATTACTGTTTTACTTTTTGACCCTGTCGTCGTCGTCTTCATATGCTACCTGATTTCAGAAATGTAAGTTTTCTGTTTGGAAAAATACATTGTTCATTAAACGTTGACATAAGTATACTTTTTAGGAAACAGTTGAAATATTTTCATGCTTACGTGTACAAAGGCAGTATAGCAAAGGTGATGCAGGGTTTGACAATGTTTTATCTGTGTGTGGGTGGGTTTTTTTCCTTCCCCCTCCTTTTTTTTTTTTTTTTTTTAAAAAAAAAACTCTTCTACAAGTTTTAAATCAAAATCCACTTCATCAGGAAACAAAGCTGAATCTGGGACTAAGTTTCTGACACCATAAACATGCTTACCCCAGTACTGAACAGAGGCTTCCTTTTACTTTAAAAATTCATTACTCTTGCTCAGCCTTTAAGTATAGGCTGCCCCCTCCTTGATTTTGGTGATATCTTGCAATCACAAGTATTCTTGTGGAATTTTCCCACAAAAATACCCAATGAACTTTTTTCCTCTTTTTGACACTGAGCTTGCGGTCCTGGAAGGGAAAAGGGAAACTCTAAGGTCTTGGTATGCACGTAAAGGGAGAGCCTTACTTTAAGCTTCTGTACCTGATTAAAGCTAGTTTTAATAGTGTTCTGATGACCCTTTGTTTCTGTTTTGAGTATCTGATTCTAAAGGTAAGCTATACATCATGATTGATCTAGTCGATGCTTTTATGCAAACCCTGTGATTGTGGAAAGGTAAACAGTAAATTTAGCATTGAGGTCAAGAGAGCAGTGCTCTAGTAAAGTGCTTCTTAAATGCTTTCATTGGAGTCTCTGTTGTATGTATGAGTTGGGAAAGTATTTCATTGCTGATACCGTGCTGACCCATAAAAAATTACCTTAATACATATCACTTCAGAACTGCATTAGCTTCCAAAGAACTTGAGATTCCTGTTGGGGAGGAGGAATGCAAGCTCTGTTGGAAAGAGCATCGAATAGCTCGGGGAGGCCATTATAAAGTAACTTATTGGTATCGCAGACATCTCTTTATGAGTATGATTCAACTAAGAATCAGTCATACTGGTGTGGTTCCAGAAGGAATTAGGCTACAAGAGGTCTTTATCAAATATGGCTTCTAAATGAGTTAAGCAATGTGCTCTAAATCTAGCCAAAATGATGACTGAGCAGGGAAGAAAATACGCAAGTGGGTAAATCATGAAACAGAAAAAAGTTCTAGAGGAAACCGTGTTGAGAGGAAGATTTATTTCCCTTAACTGAAAGAGTCTGTAATATATTTGACAAGTCAGGCTGCAGCTATTGCTTTCATTGTAATGGCCTCTAGTGACTTCTGAGTCTTCTCGTTCGCATGTGTGCAAGCACAGCTAGAGTTCCCTAGGAACAAGGATCCTTTAACAATTGCAGCACACTGGTAGCATTGTAAAGACAGTCCCAAAGGAAGGTTTTTCCTGGAGCTCTATGTAGTCAAAGATGCCACATGGAACGTACAAGCGTGATGTGTCTTAAATTCATTGTGAAATCTGGCCTAGAAAGTAGAGCTGGATCTGAAATGAGATGTGTAGCAATGTTTAGGAATGATGTTGAGAAACTTGTGTTGAAGAATGCTGCTCTTGAGGTTCGTGGTTAGTGCCAGAGAACGGTAAATGTCGGTCTGGAAAAATGATCAACAAGCTCTCCGTCTAAGGTGGCTTTATATAACTGGAGGCATTATTTTCAAAGCATCCATGAAGAACAGTATTTAGAAGGTGCTCAAATACCTAAACAGCTCTTTAAATGCAGTTATTGTCTTGATATCTCCATTAATATTGGACACTCTGGAAACGATTCGACTAGTCTCCTCATAAATCTCACCTCTGTAGCAGAAAAGGATTTCTCCACCCTCCATACCCGTAAGAGATATTCCAGGACTGGTGTAATACCCTTAGTCTCACTGTCAAATTAACAGTATTAATGGCTTAAAAAACAACAAAGTTTTCACAACAATATTTATAAGAGTTACTGGTGTATCACAATAGCTTCTTCCTGCAGCCAGTCACAGTTCAAAATCCTTAACTGGAGGGGAGAAGGTTGTTAAATCCCTAATGAAGCCTTTTTCTATTAAAAAATTTGCTTTCCTGAACTACTATCTATTGAACACTAGAAGTCTGTTTTTTCTTCTTTTTCCAGTAGTTTGACTTGCTCTGGTCTGCTGATTGAAGAAACTGTTGAAACAGTGAAGTTAGTTTCTGTTCTATTGCGGTACATATTGATAAGAGTTAATAACAAGGCCTAATCTATCCTTATAAACGTACAAGTTCCAGAAAGAGTAGTAAACAGAGGAAAGTAATGGTTGTGTCTTTCTTTGCAGCTGACCCTTATTATACCTTTTTTAATGTTACAACAGCATCCCCCCAAACTTCAGTTTAAAAAAAAAAAAAGAAGAAAAATGTGAGAATACTATAAAAAAATAAAATCACCTTTTAGTGATGACTGGCTTATTCAAGAGAAGAGGTATCGGACTTGTGGACTCTTTTAGACTGTCTGTTTGCAAAGCAGGCAAGCAAAGAGTTCACATCTTTTCTGTGATCCCTCTGTAAGAGCTGGCCTGAATCATGTGGGGCAGGTAAATGGATCTTATGTCTCTTGCGTTGGGATTGGCAGGCAGGGTTGTGCTGAGAAACTGCAAAGGGTGAATGCATGTGTGTGTGGCTTTTTTTTTTTTTTTTTAAAAAGGCAGAAATGTGCCCTCTTCCCGTTGTTGTACTACCCTTTTGACTTCTGCCCTTTCTCTATATTTTCATGTCTACTCTCTGCCTGCTGAAGTGACTGGTGCGTATCAGATTAAGCTGGAGCCTTTCAGAAATAGATGTTGTGCCTGCTACCTACCCTTGAGCATTCAGGGCCTTGACTTTGGTTACAAAAGTCTCCTTGTGTTAGTACCAGTGAATATATTCCTTCTTTGAATGTCTAGTTTTAGATCTGGATACAAAATAGATCAGTGTTCCCATTTTCAGCTGCGGCTTTCATGAAAAGTAGAATTTTCTTAAACTCTCTCAAATGCTTAACTCTTGGTGGGTAACATCAGGAAGAGTGAAACTGGCTATGAAAGCTTGTGTGTGTTTGTTTGAAGCAAACGATGGTCAGCATTCATCTGTTGTATTTCAATTTCTCTTTCCATTTAAAGTGGGAAGTGGAGTTCTCCTGGGACGCCTCTGTGATGCTAATGTAGAAAGGCTTTAAATGCAGTTTGAAGGGATACAAACTAAAAATCTTTGCTTCTTTTTTTCCCTTCCCTTCCCCTTTCCTCTTTAAACAGGAATTTTTGCTTATCTGAACTACAGAGTGCCCCGGACTCGGAAGGAAATATTTGAGACTCTGATAAAAGGATTACAGAGGCTGGAATACAGAGGCTATGACTCTGCAGGTATTTAAACTTAATCGACAAATTAATGTTAGCAACCAGTAGCTTCTGGTTGTGACTCTTCGTGGGCTTTTAACTTCTGCATCTTGGGGTTTGTTCGTTTGTTTGTTTGTTTTTTACTACTGCCAATTGAAAGATCAGAGCCCCTTATCTTCATTCTTGAAGTTTCCTCTCCAACTTTTCTTTGGACTTTAAAGTCAGGTGTTTGGATCTAATCAGATGGTGGTTGAGGTTTAGTACCCATAAGCAAAGCAAACAGTGTGAGGAAGAACACCTTCAGGCATGGTCGTGTGATTTGTGCCTCAAGCCTTGTTGCGTATGTGTCTTCTAGTAAGAAGACGCGGAAGCTTAAATCTGCTTTTTAATTTGAATTAGTTAGTGTCATCAGACAAAGTATATCAGTGTGTCCTTGGGCAAAATTTGAGATAACTTTTGTATATGTTTTCATCTATGCAGTGGATATAGGCTTGATCTAGTTTGACTAGTGCACGTATGTACTCAAATCTAGTGTCAGACTTCAAGTATACTCCTTTGGAGGAAGATTTTGAAGTTGTTGTTGTAGTATTTGTGTGTGCTTGTCTGTATTTTCTCCACCTCTTTCCATCCAATATATTTCATGGTTTAAATAACGCTTGCAATTGTGTCCTAAATTGTAGGTGTGGCAATTGATGGAAATAATAATGAAGATAAAGAAAGGTTCATCAAACTAGTTAAGAAAAGAGGAAAAGTAAAGGCCCTGGAAGAAGAGTTGTACAGTAAGTATCTTAAAATTTACCCCTTACCTTGGCTTCCTATGATATCATATCTGCATCTCAGCAGAAAGTCAAACTGTGAAGTTAGTGTTAGGGCTTTATACCAGTAGTAGTAACTGCATTGTGTAATTTAATGACATTTTGTGTCATTCCTCATGCACTTTCAAAGCAAGCTAATCTTCAGATATGGAACTGTGAAATTATTGGCCTGCTCCCCCTCTTTGGTTGCTTCTGTGTTCTTTAAGACCTGGGCTCCCTTGCTATATTACTCAGAGGATTTCTGTACTTTGTAGCTGAAATGTCAGAGCATGGACTCTGAAAGAATTCACTAGCATTTAAGCAGCTGGCTGTCATCACAGAGTGTTTTACACAGTGCTTCCATCTATGAAGAACTGAAGTTGTATTTTAATGCATTTATATTATGATTTATAGTAATGTGATTTGTTAGCCTATCTGTTACTGTTGGCTGCAAATGCTTGATTCATGGCAAAGTTTTAATCAGGGTAACTTGAACCATCTAAAGTGTAATGTCAAGAAAGCAAGTAGTTTAAAAGGAGAGGGTGGAAGATAGCTTTTAAATTTTTGCCTGTGAAAATTATTGGAGTTTTATTAGTTGTGTTTGTGTGTGAGGCAGACTCAACTTTAAATATTCAGTAAAACTAATTTCTTGTGTGTAGAACAAGATAGCCTGGATTCAAAAGCAGATTTTGAAACACACTTTGGAATAGCTCATACTCGCTGGGCGACGCATGGAGCACCCAGTGCAATAAACAGCCATCCTCAGAGATCAGATAAAAAGAACGGTAGGTATTCTCTGTAGCACTTGAATTGTGTGAATTTGAAATAGTTGAATTTACATAGTGCAAATAGCCTGTCTTCTTACTAATATGATGGTATCTATTCTGTATACTAGGGCTAAGCTGTTGCAATTCTATTCAGGTCAGACGCTCTTATGATAACATAGAATCTCTTGCAAGGCTAAAGTAACATTGTAAAAGACTAATGAGCTCTGTTCTCTGAAAATTGTTTCCAGTTAGTCAGTGGGTGACATTCTTATTTTAAAAGGTAAGACTTCAGAAAACTGAGTGTAAGCGCATCAAATTGTCTGGGCTGGAAAAGGGAGATTCTTATGGTCTCTCACCTGAGAGATGACTTGGTGCTATTCTGCTAGATATAGTTTAAAAACTGTCTTGATGCTTAGGAACAGCCTTTTATATGCCTTCAAAATTTCCAGGCTTCTGCATTCTCTCATATGTGTTATGATAAACTGGGGTCTGAAAACTGTTACAAGTAATCCCTAGTGTACTTCTAAGCTATTTTCTCTAACTTCCTGTGCACTGAGTTAAATACCTTAGTTTTCTATTACTGAATTTTTCTTTCAGAATTTGTCGTAATCCATAATGGAATCATCACAAATTATAAGGACCTGAGAAAATTTCTGGTGAGTTTGTGGCAACTTAATTATAAAGCTATAAAGTAAATGCCCTACCACCCACTTTCAGATGTTTCATGCCTTTGTTAGGGTCTGAATTCAAATTTCTCAGTATATCAGCGGTAAAATAGTACCATGCAGGAGGCTGCCTCATAAAGATACTTGGGAGCTGGTGAAGTGCAATGTGTTCTTGCACTCCTGAATGCAAAGTGCTTATGATCACAACAGCATTGTGCTCAAACTGTTTGAGTGTGTGTGTATATGCTTTGGGCTCCCTTGGGTCTTGGTGCTTAACAGAAGCTAAGTAAGTCTTACTGCTGTGTTTCCAAAAGACTAAGCTATGACAAGATAAGTCTTTATTTTCTCTACTGTGATATACATGTACCAGTCCAATGTAAAGCTCTGAGCAGTCTATTTTACTGTGCCCTTTCTGGTAGGAGACAATTGAAAGGCTCTTTTGTGTTTCTTGCCTGAAGATGAAAACCCCTCTTACTTTCCTATATGATATTTCAGGAGAGCAAAGGTTATGAATTCGAGTCTGAAACGGATACAGAAACGATCCCCAAATTGATCAAATATGTATATGACAACAGAGAGAGTGAGGATACCAGTTTCTCAGCCTTGGTAGAAAGAGTTATTCAACAGCTGGTAAGTGGGAAGGTCCTTTTCCCCCCTCCCTCTCTCCCTCCTCCCCCCATGCTAAAGGGGGAACTATTTATGGGGTTCCTTAAAATTCTGCATTCATGCATTTGGATCCTCTGCAACATTCCTTAGAAGGTGTTGCAAATAATGCTTCCTGGCTTTTGAATTATGTTTAATAGATCAAGGAATTAGAATAAAACTTTGGAAACTTCAAAGGCTTTTTGATGGTAAATTTAAAATTGCATTAGCAATACTTTCTTTGCTTCCTCCCTCCCTGCTTTTTTAAAGCAAGAGGTTATCACAGTTTTTTATGAAGCAACTTAATTAAAAAAAACTTGGCAGGGGCCTCTGTGGGTTGAAATCTCTCTCATAAAGGGCGGTGTGCCCTTAAAGGCTGTTCCGATCACGTTAAAACACTACTATGATTCAAGTCTATCTAATAGCTTAGACTAACAATATGCTTTGGCTCACATGTTTGGAGTTAGATCCAAGAAGCTGTACTGAGGGCTTAGCTGGTTCCCAGACTGTGAAATGGGAATCTACAGTTACTTAGTAAGTTAACTCCTTAAAAAAAATTTTGATAGATGCATTGCAAACTTGGCATAATCTTACTTTGTTTTCTGCCCCAGTCTCCGTGCAGATGTGTCTTCCCCTCCCCCCTTTCCTGCAGTCTCACATGCTCTTTTCAACTCCCTTTTCTCCTCTCTAAAGCAGTTCTATAGGATCCCTCCTAGAGCAGGGTGGGAGTACACGTGAAGGGCGGGCCTGTTTGGGTCAGAGTGCATAGTTCAGAAACCTGGTGAGGGGAATGGTGACTTCACCTGACTACAGAACAAGTGCAGAGTAGTCCCAGACTGGAGTCCCTTTAAGAGGAGTAAATATTCCCTTCCTTTTCTGTTTTTAAGGTGGGAGGGCTCTTTTTTTTTTTTTTGTGTGTGTTTCCTTCTTAAATTAGAAGCAGTAACTCCAAAATTTTAGCCTAAGATGCATGATGAGGAAAAACCTACCTGCATGTTCTTATTAAAAAGCAGTCTTCTAAAACAATTTTTATGTTGATTACCACTAAGATCTCTTGCATTGGAAGCTATTTTATTTATAAAAGAGGCTGAAGTGCCTTGCCTGATTGCTTACTTCCTGAGCTTTCAGCTGTTGCATTGTATGTGTAGGTTAGGTTGTTGGTTAGGTTGTTCTGCTTCTTGACTAATTCCTTTAAAGGTGCAGTCTGCCTTCCAAGAAGAGAATTCCTGATAACAGTAATGAGCTTTCCCTTAGAGGCATATCAGGAAAAGGGGCCCTGGTTTAATGACACATGACTCGTTGAGATGAGTTGCTTAGGATTTTCTCCTCATCTGTCTGCATGGCTTTCAGGAAGGTGCTTTTGCATTGGTTTTCAAGAGCATCCATTACCCAGGTGAAGCTGTTGCTACCAGGTGAGTAAAAATCTTTTACGTATAATTCATGCTCTTGAAAGTAATAAATATTTGCTATTGCTCACATCTCTTATCCTTAAAATCTCAATATTTTAGTATCTTATTTTTAAGTAGACTTATGGTGTGACCAAGTCTGCTTACCAGGGAGCAAAAAGTACTTGCTTAACTAAAATTCAGTAGGTGGATGTTTGCACTCCTGGAATCCTTGTGAAATCCAGAAAAGCTCCACTGAGCTATTAAATATAACTTAATTTGAGCTCTGCAGACTCCAAATCACAGAATTCCAGTGACCCTATGCAATGGATTGGTTTCACGAAACATTGATTCTCTGTGTAATCTTTCACTTGTTTCCGGTTAATAAATTGGACACTGTCACTCTTGGGGATGCAAGCACCATAGTGAAAAGAAAACGGATGATGTGTTCTTGATTCATGCAAATAAACTTTTAGCTGAAGATCATCCAGCTGACACTCGCAGAATAATTTATTACCGACAAACTCAGCCCTGTAGTCTGCCCCTTCATCTGTAACAGCCTCTCAACAGAGTTGTGTTAGGAGTATGCTAATGTTTCTGATATGTAGAAAAAGGTGAAGAGAGAGTATGTTGCATTTTTACTTCACTTTGACTAAAGAGTGGGAGAAGTATGTTCAACTTGGCTAAAATTTCATCATGTTAAAGTTTATACAAATAGTGGTCTCTGGCTGCCATTCATGAGTTTTGTCTATGTAAATTGTGCTTTTATATATGACTTGGAAAACAACTTTCAGGAAATGTAAGGATACTAAAGTAGCAAGTGAGGCAGCACTGGAATTAAAGGCTGCCTTTTCCTAAGATAGAAAAGCCTATTGCTTCTGTGCCCTAGGATGGGAATATATTAAAACTGTGAAAAAGCGAGTTGTAACAGCACTTTAATCAGAGAACGTGTTGTACCACATACAGAATAGTAAAGTTCACAAGTTTGGGGATGAAGGGATTAAGAGAAGCTAAATTTGTAATCTGAGTTATTTGGGGGGGGGGGGGGGAATTATTCTTTTAAAAAAAAAAAGTTCTTTAATGTGACTCGTAACTCTATAAGTGATCTTACTTTTCCAGAGTTTCAGAGGTGCAGTAATGAAGGCTGACGGTTCTGAGCTTAAAAGGCTGAAGGGTGGAATAGTATTCTAAAAGTAAAGAATGATGAGGTGTATTGTTGGCTCACTTGACAGGCAGAGGAAGAATGTTTATTTAAAAAAAAGGCACCTGTGCTAAGCTGTTTAGTGATTACTGGAAGGAAATGTAATTCATGTCCCTCCACCTGAACGTAGATCGTAGGGTGGGGGAAGAAGTCGCCTAGGCATATGGCATTTATTCAGGTAAGGTTTGGAGAATTTTACAGAACTAGCTGAACTTGTATAATTTCTGTCACCTAATGGAGTTAGGATGAGGGTGGAGGAGCTTCATCTTACTTAGGCAGCCAGACGGGATATCGTCTTTCAGCTTTGCAGATGTTCTTTGACTTTCCTGCATGCAGCTTTCTCTTCATAAACTTGTGAATTTCCCTTTGTAGGAGAGGAAGTCCTTTGCTTATTGGGGTTAGAAGCAAGTATAAGCTTTCCACTGAACAGATTCCTGTTTTATATAGGACATGTAAGTTGATAAACCCAATTATATTATTTCTAAGAGCTGAAATTATTGCTACTTTATGACTAGAAGTGAGGTTAATTGGTTTTGGAATTATAAAACTGCCAGATGATGCCCCAAATTAGTAACAAAGATATTCTATTTTTGTACTTTTGAATGTGTAGCTCATGTAACAGTCTTTGCATCCTCCCTTCACCCCCCCCCTCCAGAAATACTATGCAACTGTGATTCCTTGAATCTGTACAGTCTGTAATCTAACTTGAATGGTCTAGTTCTGCATTTCAATCTTTTTTTTTTTTTATAATAGGCAATATTGAGAATGTAAAGAATATATGTAATTCCCGAATGAAAAGGCTGGACAGCTCTACCTGCCTGCATGCCGTTGGGGATAAGGCCGTAGAATTTTTCTTTGCCTCAGATGCAAGGTAGTAAAGTACTTAACTTTCCTTTCTCAGGACGTTGTTTTTGTCTAGAAGTGACATAGTTCTGGAAATCTTAAGCTGTCTTGCTGCTGTGCAGTCGTTCTCTGATAGGACAGCTGCTTCTCTAGATGGCTTTATAAAGCCCACACGCTAAGATACGTGATAAATGCGGTGGCTTGACATCAGTATTTGAGTTGGAAGCAGGTGCGCTACCTGCTAATCTACTAACCTCTTTGCCTCCCATGTAAAATACATTCAGTGCAGGAAGGCAGGCTGAGTACAGATGGTCACTATCAGCACAGTATTTGGGCAGAATACAGGTTAGTCTGGGTTTTGGTATGTTAATCCTGCTATCTAGGGCTCAGAGGAGGAAACAATGAGGGCGTTCCAGCTTAGCAGGAATTGGATATTAGGGACACATTTTCCTTCGGTGTCCGTCTCTCTCTCTCAGAAGCAAGATCCTGTCCT